TCATTCTTGTTTACTCGTTATTTGTGGAACATCAGCCTTGAGCAGTTGAACAACTCATCAACAGCGTATATATGCCCACTGCTGAGCAAAGCCTCTTCTCACATAGACAAGGAGAGAGTTTGAGCATTAATCACCACGCTTGCTCAACACGGGTTGGCGATTTCAAACTTATAATTAGAAATTATAAGCCCAGGTTTCCTTACGATGTTTTCCTTCATCGTTTGTCAGTGGTGTCTAAATAATCTTAGAAAGTACGTATAACTCGGAAAAAATCACATTGGTACTTGCCGTTGGTAGGTTTCAAACCCTCCGCCCACCACGACTATTATTACATAAAAAAAAACATTTAATTATTTGCTTTATGAAAATATAACGTGTTTTGTACTACCATCACTAGGCCAAACATCGGCCTATCAAATATAAAAAAATCGCTTGTCTTCTTTTTTGGAAGCGTTCTTTTTACACCTATATATATGTGTGTAACTAAATATAAAGTGCTATTTTGTTAGTTAAACTGTCAAACACCAAGCGGTCACCGGTGACCGCAACCTATTGTTCTATAATTGTGTCTATAATGACGGTACTCGACGAGTTAAAGGTCATTTTGAGTTAATAATAAATCCATTGCTGGATTATGGGACAAAAACGGTCTGCAATTCTCCAAACTTGATTAACATATTAGAGGTCGCAGTGTAATAAGTTGAGATTTATCAGAGAGCTCTGCGGCTCGGGTCTTGGTCAAATATGAAGTCCCATAGTCAGCTCCTACACACTCGCGGAAAGAGGACGGAGGAGGTGACTTTATTCAAAAATGTCATTCATAAATCAATTAAGTATCTTTAAAAAATATTTTTGCTAACAAAATAGTATTTGACTATATGTATATCCTAATCGTCCTATAATAATATAATTCGTCCGGGTTGAATCGAAATTTCTAGGTCATAAGGTAATTTAAACACCTTTTTTAATACTATTATTATGAAATAATAAGATAATTTAAAACATTTTGCGATTTCTTGACAGCTTAAAATTAAAGAATTTCAGAAAAGGCGAGATTTACTTGTATCTCTGATATAAATAGATATGAACAAATATTTTAATTTAAAGTATATTTGCTTCATTTTAAAAGATGTTAAAAAATGAAATATTACTAAATCGAAATATAACTAAATTAATGTTGCCACACACTAGGATTTTCTCTTGTGTCGTGGGTGCGTTTACAATCATACAATATCACATACACATGACACCCAGACCCGGAACAACAATCTGTGGATCACACAAAGAGTTGCTCCGTGCGGAAATCAAATCCGGTACACGTTGTGCAGCAATTGCGCCAACCAATATAGTAATTACTGATATTGTAAAATACATAATTTTGTAGGATTTCGCAAAAAAATTTCGTCACAATATTTGTTTCTATGTATATAATATAATATAATTTATATATATAATTTATATAACTGATTCTGCTGTCTCCTATAATTAATCTTATATTTGTACATTCTAAGAAGTGACCAGACATTGCATTTATAGAAATAAGATTATTTTAAGTATATTAATCTCAGGGCAAGTAAAAATCTCTTTGTTTATTTAATAAGTCAATATAAGACTGCTCTTTTTATTTTTTAAGTCTCAAAATGCAGTTGTCAATGCGAAATTGACTGCATTTTTTGTAGAAAACAGCAACTAGTGAGGACTACCGGTTTTTATCACTAGATGGCGTTAAAGTAGAGTTAGATCTATTTGTTAAATTGGGTACTTTCTTTAATCAAAAATATAATATTTCGACTGTTCAATACAATAGAATATTAAAAAATAATCACACTTTCATCCATTGATTTTATGACCAACTTAATTTTAGTATTTTGCCAGGAAATTTTCACAATACACAATATCGTACAAAATTCGTAGAAAACTGTCGTTTTTGACACTTCGAAAAAAGTATTGAATTTGACTAGTTGGCAAGTACCTAATTACGGTAGCTGTCATCTCCAAACGTCCTATCTATCCCCTAAATCACTAAAAGGACGGGAACGTAGGTACTAGTAGCTCCTCTAGTGCTGTGGATGTCCATGGGCGACGCCGATTGCTTACCATCAGGTGATCTGTCAGCTCGTTGGCGTGTAGGGTACTACACCATAAAGAAATAGGTTTTAGCTCAAATCAGAAGTAGGATCGGGGTAGTTTTTAGTCAATGAGAGTCGTTACACTGTCTCTCGCCTCATTCAAGTCGGGAGAAGTCTTTAAATGATTTTTCTCCTTCAAATAAAAAATCTATGTTCACGCCATGTGTTGAGCAAAAATGCTAGTCTTCCTTTCTATTAGAATATTTTAACGATTGGTGTTTTTGTGAGAATGCTTATGTGTCTTAGTATTATTTAATCCAGAGAACATAAGAACATGATGTTTGTGCTTTTATATGGCAGTCTATATATGGCGGCGAGTATTGCAATAAAACTGAATACAAAACTGATGTGCTATGTAAACATGTGGTTTTAAAAATGTAGTAAATATGACAAAATTGGTGGATTTTTAAATTAAAAACTTCTCTGAAATGTATAAATTAATTATCTAAGTTTTTTTTAAGTCATTCGTGGAGCCCATTTCGTGTTAGCTGTTTAATTGAAAAATTTGTAAGAAAATATCGAAATGTTTTCTTACAAATTAAGGTAAGGCGTAGGAATTACTAATTTTGATCTATGTTTAGAAAAATAAGACCTTTTACACACACTCCTGTCGCTGGGTATCAGATACCCACGAGCAAAGTGTCATAATAGTCATAATCTCACAATATACGTTAACTGACACGTACTGGTACGTTTTAACGTAGTTTTTTCGCCGGGTATGTGAGACCCGGCGACCGGAGTGTGTGTAAAGCCATTAATAGATAAGTTTATGGTCGATTTCGACAACCATTCCTACACCGCCTCTAAAGTAAAATAAACTAGCATGAAGTATCACTTAAGTACCCCTTAAGTTGCTTATTAGTAGGTGAACATTAAAATGTCGTTTAATATCACCTATCTTAGCTAAGTGGTTCCCTAAAATGTAAGAGTGGTTGACGAAAGCGAGCGTTAGTCGGTGTAGCTTTTTATATATCTTTAGTTTTAATATTACAGTTAAAAACTGTAGTTATTCTAACTTAGTGCCAGACTTAGGATACTGTAATTTTTATACCTATATCGATTTTTAGATCTCCTAATAATATTAACTTTTTCTTTAAAAACTTAGTATTAGCTTTAAATGATAATTTTCATTATTGTGTACCCGATTTTCGAAAATGTCTATTTATTTTTCAAAATTTAATGTATAAGAAAGGCCTATTCGCTATGTGTTTTGAATTTGTATTCGTCAATTTGTGTATTGTATTGCAAAAATATATTTAAAATAAATACTATCAAAATGAAAATTCTTCAATGTTTGGACTTCGCTAAAAATGTAAGCAGTCACTATTTTGATGTTCTGATAGCAAAAAATAAGCGAAAAGATATAAAATAGTGTGTTTTTTATGAAAATGATAAACCATTTGTGTCTGAAATATAGAAAAAATAACTTGAAACTTTATAATTATCTTGGTTTAATTTTTTTACTACTTAAGTTATGGCCGATTTTTCAATCTTCAGATAATATTTACCTGTAGAATAATATTGACATTTGACAGTTTTTATTATAAAAGAATTGTCAAATATTCAAATTTATGCCTCAATGAAAGTTTTTTAAATTGAATACTTTCCTGAATTAAAAATACATTATTTCGACTGTTCAATACAATAAAATATTAAACAAATTCAACTTTCATTAATTGGTTTTATGACCAACTTGTTTTTAGTGTTTTCTCTCAAATTTTTAAAGTAATAAGTATGTTTTTTGACGCTAAAAAACGTGACGTCACAAAACACAATCGTACAAAATTCATAGAAAACTGACAGTTCGAAAAAGTATTGAATTTGACTAGTTGGCAAGTACCGAATCGACTAGGAGTGCGTTTTCCTCTTTCATAGTAAAATAGTGTGCTATAGTCATGTATTATTCTTGTTTGTAGTTAATTAGTATATTTCTTATTCTATGTGATATTGGTCAATGTATTTTTTCTTTTTTATAAACAAAACTTAGCTTTATTACTGTGTATTGTACTAAGATATTATTTAAAGGAAACTCTTGTGGAATCGATAAATGTATCGATTGTCGATTGTTGTATCGATTACATTTATCGATATCGATAAAACTTTTGTCTAATGTAATTTGTAAATGAAAGAAAATTTTGCATTTTGCGATTTTTAATAAACGTAATTATGATAATTTTTTGTTGTTTTTTTTAACCGAAATCCTGTC